ACAAATTGTGTGACTTTACATCGCTCTGATGAACCACTGGATCCGTCGCTACAGCAGATTCTAAAAAAGTATTCACCTTTTGTTTGTCAGTTTATGTCACTCAGACATACTGAAGTGTAGAGACAGTCATGTCACTTAAAAGAAAAATGGTGTCACAACACGACTTAATGTCAGCATAAACCGATGACAGTCGACATAGGGTGACATGTCAACTTGACACTGCATTCGCCAATGTCAGCATTTATGACAGCTATAAAAGTTGGAACAAACCTTTATAAAAGCTTTTGTCAAGATATGTCGGCTGTCGTGAAGGGCTTATGTAGGTGTAATGTAGCCTTATGAAGAGCACCGTTATGAAAAGCGTTATCAAAATTTTTAACATATATATTTATCTGGATGAATGACTGGTTAGGCTCTCACCATGCAATCCCTAGGAAAAAGGCCTGCCAATAGGAAGAGTCACCTATTGGCAGGCATGGTCGTTCAGGGGGAAGGACTTAGGTGACTGAATGTATTGCACTGATTAATTCCACCTGCTCCTGGTCTTGTTGATCACTTTAATGTTTCCATCCCTAAGTTTTCTCTTTCACCTAGCAAACTCATCCCACTTCCCATGCTGCACAAGCTTGGTTTTTATTTCTTCTTGTCTTGCTTATTTTTGCATGTGGTTCCGCTGAGGACTCAGATCCATTAACATGATACACAATTCCTCAAGCTGGCATACCACAGAGAGTGTCCTCTGCCTCGTGCCCTATTCTTAGCAGAATAAGCTCTAGTATCAGTGTAATCCTGCGCTGGACAAGCATTAATGCAAATGAATGTGTGGAACGACAATTCCTCATGAACCTTAGTAGGAAGTGAATGTAAGATAGGCTTCATTTGTCATTGCTGGACATTAAAACATTGTGAATTGTTCCTGTGTTATCAGAAAAGAAAAAAAGAAAAAGAAAAAAATCTTAGGGCCTAAAATAACAAGTACTATATTTTAAGAATGTTCTAGAACATTCCCCAATAAAGCTGATGAAGCAGCCTATTCTAAAATGTCCTGTTTTTAGATTTTAGAGGTGAAATGGGTCACTAGTTGGCACTATCACTTATGAGTAATAACCCAGTCATGACTAAGGCTATTCTATAATTACATTTAATACATAATATATCACAAAATTACATTATTTATCTTAGGGAATGGTGGCCTAGTGGTTGTGCTGTTGCCTCACACCACCTGGGTTCGGCGTTTGCATCCTGCCTCTGCTCTCTGTGTTTATACAGTCGGCGTGTTCCCCCAGCAAGGTACTCTGGTTTCCTCCCACAGTCCAAAAACATACAGTTAGGGGAAATGGTATCTCTAAATCACTCATCAACATAGTCATCAATATAGATTAGATTTTGAGCCCTGCAATGGACAGGCATCCCATCTAGGATGTACCCCTGCCTTATGCCCCATGCTACCTAATAGGTACCGAATAGGCTCCAGGCCCCCCCACAACTGTGACCAAGATAAGTGATTATAGAATGGTATATATTTTGAATTATGTAGCAGATTAGAACATTTTAGAAGATGTGAAGAATACATTTCTATGTATAATGTTCTCGGATGGTTGTTACTGTGTCTGCTTCCGTGTACTACGCTTCATTAACGCTGCTCTTAATCCCACACAGGCCCACTGTTTAGAGGCTTCCCATGACACCTGTGACAAGTTTCTGCAATTTTTTGTCGATAAGATTGCTAACATTAGAGCGCTTACTGTATCCCCTTCCTATGACCCATCGACTTCTGTTTCCTGCTCAGCCTCCTTTAGCTGGTATGCCTGTGTCTCTTCTTGAGGAAATCATTCGGTGTATAAAATTATCAACCATCCCCAAAGATGCAGTTCCGCCACGTCTCTTTATAAAGCCTTTAGAGACTATTGGACCAAGCATCCAAGCAATTATGAATAGTAGTTTGGCCGCAGGTTTTGTTCCAGAGCAATTTAAACGTACTATTGTGCAACCTCTGATTAAAAAAAAAATCTAATTTGGATACCTCAGTTTTCTCAAATTTCAGACCAATTTCCAAGCTCCCATTTCTGTCCAAACTTCTTGAAAAAATTGTTCTTTTACAATAGCAATCTTACCTGGATAGGCACACTATTCTTGAACCTTTTCAGTCAGGCTTTAAAGCCCTTCATAGCACTGAGTCAGCGCTCTTAAAAGTTTTTAATGACCTTCTATCCACTGATTCCTGTGATCATGCCACCTTGATTCTTTTAGATCTTACAGCAGCATTTGATACTGTTGATCACAACATACTCATCTTCTGTCTGGAGCATTGTGTGGGCATTAAAGGCATGGCGTTGCAGTGGTTTAAATCTTACCTGTCTGATACAAGTTCTTCTGTCAGTTTAGGTGACTGTATATCCTCCTCAGCACCCCTCCACTGTGGAGTCCCCCAAGGATCTATCCTGGGGCCTCTCCTTTATTTCTCTGTACATGCTTCCCCTAGGATCTATTTTTTAAAAATATGGCATTTCTTTTCATTGTTACGCAGACGACACCCAAATCTACTTGCATCTGAAATGGAAAGATAACAACTTTTTAAAACTGTTGTTGGACTGCCTGGAGGACATCAAAGCCTGGATGGCTTTAATTTTTTAAGCTTCAGTGAGAGTAAAACCAAGGTCCTCATTTTTCAGCCCAGTGGGACCAATGATTCCTTCCACATTAGCCTAGGTCCCCTAGTTTATTTCATCTTGACTCGATTAACACCCAGTCAGTCAAGCTTCCCTCTCCCGCCTACAGCTGGTACACAACACTGTAGCATGTCTCTTAACAGGCACTAAGAGGCGTGACCACGTCACACCAGTACATGCATCCCTCCACAATTTTGGCCACTAGTGTAGGTTTCGGAGCCTAGTTTATTTTATTACATTATGCCACTATTCCTCATTCTCAGAACACATCAAGTCCCTATGCCAGCATTTTGGTTTGAATGAGCATTTGCTATTAAATGACAGAATAATATTTACAGGACCATCACTGTTGAAGAGCAAGTATCTTTGTATTTGAAGCTTGTACCAGGGGATGTCTTGGTTTAACTGTATTGATGGACTCTCGTAAATGAGGCAATAAAACACGCACTGCATAGTTGTTTTTACATGACTCTGGGAGAGTTATTCAAAATCCATCATCTCTCTGCTGTCCCACATGCTGTTCTGTCTAAATGAGAACTTGTCTGTTTTTCATGCATTAGAGTTAGTATCTCGCCATGATACACTGTCAATGTGGATTAGTGGGAGTGTAAAGAAAGATATGACTGTGAAGAAAAGTACCTCTGAACTGACATTCACAGTTATGATTCAAGGTCGAGTATCATCTCCAGTTAGAAAAACAGTAGAGCAAGCACATGTGAGTTTTAAGAAAACTGCATCTTTCAATCAATACTCTTCCTTCATTTGATTTCTTTGCATAGAAATAGAGTAAGAAATCCAGTCATGCAACAACCTGATATACAACTGTTAGCTCATATTGGTCTCTAAACAATTTTCCTCACCTAAGTGCTTATCCTCCTGCAAGTCGCTGAATGACTCTCATGAGTTCGAAAAAAAATCCCATTCCATATAAAGAATTTAAGTGAATCACATGGTAGGTGTTTGAAGTATGTTACATTATTAAGTTGGGTGACACATACACAGACATACACACACAAGTTGGTCTTCCTATCTAAATGGGGACCATCCATTCATTTCCATGGTTAAAACCATAATCCCAGTCACGACACCCTTAACCTCTACCCATTCCTAACTATAACCATAAGTAACCAACCCAAATACAAGACTTTTGGCATTTTTACTTTTTCGATTATTTCACAGATCTTTGTGGGGACCTGAAAAATGGTCCCCACAAAGTAATAATCCACAAAGCCTAATCCACATCCACACACATATAGCTAAGCTTTAAAATAAAGTTGAATTTTTATTTTAATGCTTGCCATGGTCAGTCTTCAAAATCTTAAACCATTAAAAGGTATAGAGCAATGGGTTGATCTATCACAGACCATGTAGGATCAGAGACGTTCAGATCAGGGACGTCACTAGGATTGAAAGACAAGGGGGGCTTAGCCCCCAGGGTTGTAGGAAGGAATTAGCGCATATAGAGGGCTGAAAATTTTTCAACAAACCTAAACAGGCTTCTTTAATTTTATTATCTCATTAATCTAGAAGGCTCCACCCTGAAGAAAACGACAACAACAAAACAAATAATCTAAACAGCTAAAACAGGGACACTTACCATTAAGTTTTTGATCACAATAACTAATTATGACAGCAGCATTATGTTAGTCTAAATTAGTTTTAAAATAGCCAACAACGTCACTTTCCTTTCACTTACGGAAACCTAAGTAAAGTTAAGCAATTAACAGTTTTTGACACCTATACTCACAATCTCTGACAATGAAATTATCTGGCCGCTTCTTTCTGTTGAACGTTGCTACTCGCTAACAAGCAGCGACATTGATGTAAGTGATTAACAATGAAACTTATTCAAGTTTAACATACTGATACTTTACTTCTATTTATTACTGGTGCTAAAGAAAGACGTCACCCGATAAACTGTAATGATACAGGTACAAAAAAAGTAGTATTTTCATGGATAAAACAGTTGACGATTTACTGGATAATCTCTCAAGGCCAACATAGCTCCAGAAATTTATGTTTTAGATTGTTTATATCAGACAAGGGGTTTTCGTCTGATGTCATTTCAGTAATAAAGAATGTGATTAAAAGGCACTATAGGCATTGCGTGTTTTGTACTTAAATAATCTATTTATCGACCAAACACAATAGACTGCTTAGCTAAATTAACTTTAATCTGCTTGTTTTCACAATACACTATCTGCCAAAAGCCTATAAGGTTTCAGAAGGCCTAATTGTCCTATCACGTCAAAGCCGCACACCAGCTGCCCAGATATCACTAAAGGACTCTAGAATAGCGTCCGTTAGATGCACAGTTAACCCGCGTTTGTGATCCTCCTCTATCTGAAGCTTATTTTTGGGCACAAAACCAGACAGCGATCGCGCATATACACTTGACCGATGGTTTTGGGGATTGTAGTTCAATTATATATATATTTCGTACAAGAGATACCATAAGTGAACTACAGTATCCAGAAATACCCCCAGCTGAAAGGGACTTTAAAGTACATTGTTTTAGCTGTCTTGCAATGTTTACTTCCTTCGTGCACGGTATGTCATCTTCGACACGGAGGCAGCGTTTGTGCTCTACGGTCAATGTTTTCTCTTGCATCGGCGTCTATTCTAAACTGTACAGATGCTACACCTTTTAAGTCGGTGAAGCAAAACCAGGGCTAGATCGCTAAGCGGTCACACCGAACGGCGACTCTGGAGTGTCCGCAATGGCGATGTTCCGCAGTTTTGTCTCGGCTGCCCAGCTCAGGCAACATCATCAGCAAGACGCTCAGCAGAGCGGGTCAGCGGCCGCTGCCTCTGTCGAGAGCATCGAAGCCCAGTTCTCATGCCCGATATGTTTGGAGGTTTACCACAAACCTGTCAGCATCGCCGCCTGCGCTCACACGTGAGTGTTCGGATCGATTTGGTTCCGAAACAATACTATCATTAATCAGCCACTGCAATTTTGATTCATTTCTGTCGTAATAAAAGACTTTTACAATAATTTTTTGCAGTAGTTATTGTTACTGTAACTCATCGAGTCACGATCAGGTGTCCCATATTACTGTGCACCGGCTAGGAACAGGGTTCTGTACTGTAGATTTTAATTTTTAATTGTGGGAATGAGAGCCGTCATCCTAAAAAAGGCCACGAAAGGCTTGGCGAAATCATGCAAAACCGGGGAAATGTAACGCAGCGATGTGCGTTTCTCGTTAAGGTGCTTGCAGTACGGTGCTGTTTACTGTGCTCCGGTGTTCCGACAACCTCGGGATCATCGATGGGAAAACCGGCCGGTGTTATGCCGAAAAAGGCATCCCTGCCGTAGAATGCATGCCTGTCTGTAAATGACCGATTGGTCGCTGATCTGAAACGAGTTGAGCTAATTTGTCGAGTTAGGCTACTGTAGTGCTAATCGATAGCCCTAACCCTAATCCCAAAAAAACCCCTAAAGCCCTAACCCACCAAAAAACCCTAAAACCCTAACCCCCAAAACACCCCTAAGACCCTAACCCTAACCCCCCCCCCCAAAAAAAAAACCTAAAACCCTAAAAGCTGAACTCCTCAGAACACCGGCATGCATTCTACGGCAGGGATGCCTTTTTCGGCATAATGCGTGTTGGTTGCTCCGTCTCAAGTCAAATAGTGTAGTCCGATTGCACGTCACTGTCCAAAAATCGATGGCAACCGGGGTCGGTTTTCAACAAGGATTTTCCTTTGGAGTCAATATAAGAATATGTGTAAAATGTGAAATAAAAAAGGGACAATGATTTTAAGTAGGCTATAGCTCAGCACCCGGGAACATGTGACGTATCGGGACGGGGCATTTTCTGTCGTCGTCGATGGGTTGATTATTAGGCCACTTAAAATTAATAAATTGTTTTACATGGCCGCCCGCCTCAATTTTTTGGTGCCGCCTCGATTTTTTTTATATTTTATAAATCCGTTTTTTTCACCTCAAAAACTGTGGGTGAAAAATCTTGAATGTCAGCCTCGGATTTTTCAATTTGACGCTTCTCGGACAATGGTTTTTATCGTTTGTCAGATTGTGTGTGGGCCCACGGTATTAAAATCTTGGCAGGGCATCAATATACCGAGTAATATATATTACCCTTCGCGAGCTGTTTGAGAACTTTTCTAGTTTTAGTATATCTCTGTTGCCGTTCGTCTTTTCGCTAAAAATATAAAATATAAAATCCCCTACTCACCAATATTTTAGAAGTTTGAATCATGTAAAACAGTTTATTAATTTTAAGTGGCCTTAGCAGGCAGGGTTATTATTTATTTATTTTTCTGTGTGTGTGTGTGTGTGTGTGCATGTTTAAAGAGATTTTTTTCCAGAAACTTGAACTATGCAGGACATCGTTAAGGTTAAGTATTAGTCTGCTGATGAAAAGTGGGATAAAACCGAACAATGTGCAGACAAGATGAGATGTGTGTATCAAGACTACTCGTCTTTCTTCTCAGATTTACCAATTAAAGATATGTAGGCTAGTTAATCAGGGCGTTTATATTTAGGGTAAATAATGTGGGCAATTTAAGAAACCACATACACTTGACATTTTATGATTTTAGGCTGAAAATATCACCTAATGTCTCTCACTGGCATATTATTATAAGCGTCATTCCTCTAGTCGCCGTTATATATCATAATGAAACCCCCCCAAAACTGTTTTAAAAATGGAGCATGTTATGTTGTGAAGGTCCCGTTATTATTATTTACTGAGTTGCAGCCCGGTACGTTTGCTGCCCCAGGGGGATTTTCTGCATGACCCTGGGATGTCACTGAAGGCTTGCTGTGAGAAAGTGATGCCTTTTATTCAGACCCCTCTATGGTGGTTTCCTAATGACAATTTGAGATGATAATTTTAACAGGCACAGCTGTGTGCATTTCAGAAAACTTCTGAATTCAGTTTCATCTTTCTTGAATTTTTGAGATGGTTTATCTATATATTTGTATGTCAGCAGGAACTCGACACAACAGAGTAATGAGTATTTTTGTATCCATTAGACATGGTTAGACCAAGGAGTTTGGTTATCAGAAAGTTTGAATGTGTCTCTGCTGTTTATTTTGGGGCATAGGGGATTTTTTGCAGATAGAGTTTAGTAATAAAGGCAAAAAGGCAGGCTTTTGGCTGTAATTCTCTACCTTCAGAATAGATTATTTGCAAGAAAACGATGTTGCAGCTTTTGTGGGGTGAAAGAGTTAGTGCTTACGATGCTGTGTTTGAGGTTTACCTCATTCTGGCTTGACTATTTTGAAAGTCAGAAAATGCTTGAGCACACTGGAGTGCACACTGTGGTAAAGATGTAGCTCAGAAGTTAGGCAGCTATCTTTTGAAGTGAGAAGTGACTTGAAAAGCACACACTGGTGTGCACATCTGCCATTTCCTGTAAGGTTTCACAACTGCTTTCTGTTGCCTTATTTTTTCACATTCACTCTGTCACACACAAATTTCCTGTCCAGGTATTCATGCATTGAACAGTCATTTTTTAATTCTTTTACTTCCTCAATGCTTGTTATTGCTAAGGATATAAAGAAGTGAAAGAATGAATGAAATCAGATTGTTTTCTTAACGGCATGTATTTGCATGTCATGTTAACTGAAGCTTTGTAACACTGCAAATGTGGTACATTTGTATATAGTGAATTTCGCTGAGCAAATCCAGCTCAGAATCATGTGGTGTGTACTTGTTCACGTACACAAACTCCGTCCTGGTAATTTCCATGCCAGTTATGCAAATAACGATACGTTCCATAGTGTTTTGTACCACTCAGGCTGTACACTTGATTTCTACTAAGGGATAAAATCTTAACCTTATAAGACCCTTATAAGGAGGAAGCATTAGTCATTAGCTTCCATCTCCACTCCTAGCTGTACCTACACCCTCCGCATGACAACTTTGAAAATAATTTAGTATTAGGCCATTTCAAAAAACAAAATATTTTAATGGTCATTTAACAACCACATGAATGTTATCCTGCTTCATTTTCAGTTTTTCAATCAATTTTATTTTTGTGTCCTTCATAGCATGTTTAAATATTTAGTAACAAAACCAGCATTATGGATGGGTATGTCAACCAGTAATATTTTTCCAATGAAGCGAGATGTAAGTCTATTTGGGTAAGGGGGGAAGGGGGGTTAGGGAGCAGTGGTAGCCTTCGAAATGTACAGTCGGCATTTTCAAAAAGTCTCCCCTTGGTGTACAGCAAAGAATTTAGCAGTAAATTTAAGCTGTAAAGCTATTGTCATATTGAAATTTTAATGAAGTCTTACTACAGTAATCCCTAATTATGAGTACCAGTTTGGTACAGGTTCACAGTGAGCCTTAAGTCTATTTCAGGAAGCAAGGTGCAGAAGGCAAGACACCCTGGACAGGATGACAGACTGTCACATGCAGTCACACACTGAGAGTGGCTTATATGACCCCAGTACACAAACCATGTCTCTGAGGAAGTAAACTTGTGTAAATGGAGTTAATTTGCAAACTCCATACATGCAATGCTGAAAATAGAACCCTAGAAATGTAAAAACCATTAATTTTGTTAATGTTCTATTGTTGTACACTCACCTAAAAGATTATTAGGAACACCTGTTCAGTTTCTCATTAATGCAATTATCTAATCAACCAATCACATGGCAGTTGCTTCAATGCATTTAGGGGTGTGGTCCTGGTCAAGACAATCTCCTGAACTCCAAACTGAATGTCAGAATGGGAAAGAAAGGTCATTTAAGCAATTTTGAGCGTGGCATGGTTGTTGGTGCCAGACGGGCCGGTCTGAGTATTTCACAATCTGCTCAGTTACTGGGATTTTCACGCACAACCATTTCTAAGGTTTACAAAGAATGGTGTGCAAAGGGAAAAACATCCAGTATGCGGCAGTCCTGTGGGCGAAAATGCCATGTTGATGCTAGAGGTCAGAGGAGAATGGGCCGACTGATTCAAGCTGATAGAAGAGCAACTTTGACTGAAATAACCACTCGTTACAACCGAGGTATGCAGCAAAGCATTTGTGAAGCCACAACACGCACAACCTTGAGGCGGATGGGCTACAACAGCAGAAGACTCCACCGGGTACCACTCATCTCCACTACAAATAGGAAAAAGAGGCTACAATTTGCACGAGCTCACCAAAATTGGACAGTTGAAGACTGGAAAAATGTTGCCTGGTCTGATGAGTCTCGATTTCTGTTGAGACATTCAAATGGTAGAGTCAGAATTTGGCGTAAACAGAATGAGAACATGGATCCATCATGCCTTGTTACCACTGCAGGCTGGTGGTGGTGGTGTAATGGTGTGGGGGATGTTTTCTTGGCACACTTTAGGCCCCTTAGTGCCAATTGGGCATCGTTTAAATGCCACGGCCTACCTGAGCATTGTTTCTGACCATGTCCATCCCTTTATGACCACCATGTACCCATCCTCTGATGGCTACTTCCAGCAGGATAATGCACCATGTCACAAAGCTCGAATCATTTCAAATTGGTTTCTTGAACATGACAATGAGTTCACTGTACTACAATGGCCCCCACAGTCACCAGATCTCAACCCAATAGAGCATTTTTGGGATGTGGTGGAACGGGAGCTTCGTGCCCTGGATGTGCATCCCACAAATCTCCATCAACTGCAAGATGCTATCCTATCAATATGGTCCAACATTTCTAAAGAATGCTTTCAGCACCTTGTTGAATCAATGCCACATAGAATTAAAGCAGTTCTGAAGGCGAAAGGGGGTCAAACACCGTATTAGTATGGTGTTCCTAATAATCCTTTAGGTGAGTGTATTTGGATTGTAGTAGCTTATCAGTTGGGAATTTCTTTATAACTTCACAGCTTGCTACAGATATACTTCAGTGTAGCTCCAGTGTAGCAGTGAAATGTCAAGCATTTATTATTTCCTGTTTTTTCTTCCTTTTTTAAGTTGTCTGCCTGGATGTATAAGAATTTGAGTTCAAGCAGTGGATTTTTAACAGGTGTGGAAGGTGTTTCGGGCTTAAAATGAGCTCGATATGCAGCATGAAGTGGAATGTGGTGGCTGGGTCATGTGATCTGAATGAGATCACTAATGTTCTACTGCCTTCTCCAGCTGACCTCCTCCTTCATTCCACCAGACCTTTGCTCAGTGTTTTTTTTTCCCTATTTAGAGGACGTGCACAAAAACTTTCCTTTCGCCTGGAGTCTATTCTGCTTGTTTTTGACTCTTCTTGTATCCACAGTCCTCAGTAACCAGGCTTCTTCCCCTGCCTGTTTTTTTTTTAGAGTGATTGAAAAGGCTGTTTAGCATGTCTGTGTATAACATTCTGCACCCTTAGCAACTAATACCTGATAACACTGAAGCTTTAGCTGAAAGCTAATGAGATTGAATATTGAAGCACACTTTATGTTAGCCATAAGTAATTCAAGGCAGTAAAAGTCTGTGTTCTTTTGTCAAGAAGTTAGACAGTGAATAAGTCGTGTCCATGGCTGCCATTGGATATGTCTGAACCTGATCTGTTTGATATCAGATGGCATTGTGATCACTTAACATCACACCTCATGTTGTCAGATGATCATCTGGGTTGAACTGTTTTAAAAAGACTCATTTTTCAAAGGTTGTCAGTTCAAGGCCCTGGAAGAGCCCTACTGAAGCACCGTTGATAAAGACCTTCAGTCAGAATTACTCCAGTAAAATTTCCAGGTATAAATTTTGAAGCTCACTTGTAATGATCTCAGCTATATTGTAAATATAAGCGCTGTCCTACCAATTTAGTTTTTGCCCAGCAACAACAGTGAGTTTTGATTTGCTTTTGGGACTCGGATGTTGCGTGTGATGGCCAATTATCAAACTAGAACTGAAGGTTAATCCTTTAATGGCTGGCTGGTTGACGCCGCCCTCATTCTGCACCACATGGACCAGTTCAGACAAAGCTAGAGCTTTGACCGATTTGCTTCTTTTTAGCATCCCATCAGCTTTTCTCACCATTTATTGCTTCTTTTTATCACGTTATACTTAGTAGTAATTACAGTGGTATGTTGGAACAGAAACTTAATTCGTTCCAGAAGGCTGGTCGAGTTGGTCGAGGTCCAAGTCGAATTTCCACATAAGAAATAATGTAAATTAATCTGTTCTAGACCCCCCAAATGTTTGCCTATTTAAACTTATCTACCTACCTACCTAATAATAAAAAGCATTAACAATCAATATAAAACTAATGCACACATGAAAAAGGACACATCTAAAAGCAATAAACAAAATAAATGACAATCTCATTCTCCAAAGCGAGAGCAGACACATGTGCACCATCTTCAAGTCTCACTATAATTTCCTTTTTAAGTTCTACGATTACTCTCACTGCTTTCCTCTTTGGTTTGCTGTTATCACTGCAAACTTTCTTAGGGGCCATGATTACAGTATCACTAAATGTACTATAAAGCACAAAAAAAAAAAATCACGTTGAGCTTTCACACGTCGAGCTGAGTCGTGAGGTACTGTGGACTATGAGCCATTCATAGGCATCAGCATCCCAGTAGGTCCGTTTGCTTTTGTGTTTGCCCATCAGACATGTGTCTTGATCAGACATGTGTCTTGATCTAAGTTTTAGCAGGTCTGTTTTGTTTTGTTGTTTTCCACGTTTTCAGTCAAGTTGTTTGGTTAGATTTTTCTCGACCGGCCTGTTCGAGGTCCGAATTGGTAGAGTTGATCTCGTCTTAACCCATACAAGTTGTAGCAGGAGCGGTTGAGTTCCAAGATTTAAATCGAGGTACAAATAAAAAATAAATTCAACAGATCCGTTAAATGTCTGAGTTGGTTAAGAGGTGTTTGAGTTCCAAGGTTCTGCTGTATTTATAAAAGATTTCGGCTTGGCCTCATTGAACCATATTCACTGTAATATCAGAAACAGCTGTGCTTGTCTGCATTCGTTGGGCTGTAGCCTTGCAAGGTGTATTAATTGGTGGAGCAGTTTTGTTCTTAAAGGGTTCTTATTCTTCTAAAACAATTCTTATTTAAAAAACTACAGTGACTGGAGAAATAGAAAGAACTTGCTCATGCAGCAACAAATATTCATGATATTAGAGAAATTCAAATATAAAGTATATAAAAATCCACATTTGAACAATTGGTTAATAATGCGAAATGGATACTCTAGCACTGGGAACATAACAGACAAATACACAAAACAAAAAAGGATTTCAGTTATGAGTCCAAATGGGCCTTCTAACGCTGCTAAAGAGTGACAGAAAATATCCAAAGTTTGGGACCATTTTCAAAAAACTGGTAATGTTGTGTTAAAAAAAAAAAAAAGTCAGCAAATAGTCAAATATGAAAATTTTTGATAGCTGCAGCCCTGGTTATAAAGAGGCAAAGCTACTAGATATATTTTTAAAGGAATGTGTGCAGCTTCACCTGTCTTCTTTAACCTCGTTTACATGTCCTGCGGGTAAAAAGCAGAGCAGAATGGAGGCACTACTTTCCTCCAACTGCTATCTTCATATAGTGGGTTGTGAGGTTTGCGATTTCAGAGTAGCCCTTCTAGTGTCACTTGTGTGCTGTGTGTAGGGTTTGCTGCCTGATAGGAAGTTACAAAATAAACCCAAACTTTTCACACCATAACATTGTTGCGTGCTCTCATTGACCGTGACAGGGTTTTTCAGATGTATCTCACAAACAGGCGCTGAGGAGGCCATCTCCTATGCCGAATGCATTTCTTGTCGCAAATGTGTAGTCTTACTTCTTTAAATTGTACCCCCCCCCCCCCCCATATGTGAGCATGCTGCACGAAGCACTGATTCAGACTGCAAGCAACTTCATGCCTTGTGTTTCCATAAATTGCCCCCGCCTCCCCTATGCCTGACTTCCTTACACAGGGCTTTCACATGTTATGGGCTGTTTTTAAACTCTGTTTTTAGAACCCCTGCCCGTGTCAGCAGCGCTGACTACAGGATTATCTTCAGCGCATTAAATTAAACAGGCGTTCTTAGTCCCCAGGACGCAGGTGCTGTCTTCTACCTGCAGCTTTCACGGATCTTCATCCGTAATGCTAGCTGTTAGACATTCCCAGGTTGCTGTGCCCCTGTGCTATAAAATTCCAAAGGTTATCTGGGTGTCTTCCTGTGTCACCTGCTCAGCACATATATCCTACACTAGGCTGTATAAGATAACTATGTTTTGGCTACATTGTTTGGTGCTTGATGAGGTAGGAGCGTGGATTTTTGGTCCTCCTCACTGTGTTCCTTGCCCTGACTTGTTCCTTTAGGTTCTGTGGCGAGTGTCTACAGCCCTGCCTGCATGTGGCCTCGCCTCTCTGCCCCCTATGTCGCATGCCCTTTGACCCAAAGAAGGTGGACAGGTGCTCCGCCGCGGAGAAGCAGCTCTCCTCGTATAAAGCGCCATGCCGAGGCTGCAATAAAAAGGTCAGGACCTGGGACATGGGATTGGGGGTGGGATGGAGCCTGGCCGCAAAGCCAGTTGCCCTGCAGCACTTCTATGTGATGCCTCTCGGCTGCCAGGGGCACCTAACCCACCGTTGTATGTTCCTGCATGCCAGTCTCTCATACCATTTTCCAACCAGTACTGCTGTGAAAGATCAGACTTGGTGTGAAATGACTGTTGTTCTCAGCTGTTTTACTCTGCCTTTGAGACACCATGTTTGAACATCGTAGTCTGCTTGCAGGTCACCCTGGTGAAAATGCGCTCTCACATCTCGTCCTGCGCTAAAGTTCAGGAACAGATGGCAAACTGTCCAAAGTTTGTGCCAGTCGTGCCCACCTCACAACCTATTCCCAGGTAAGCACGTCATTTGCCTTGGGCACACACCATTACAGGACGAAACCCTCATGGGGAATCTGTGATTGCTATCTCCCTAATAGTTGCAGTGACTCCACAGTGTAGCTTTTTCTGTTTTTTTTTAACCTCATTCTTACAGCTTTTAAAGAGTCCAAAGTCTTTTTTATTTCCTAATACAAGACTCATTGTAAACATCCGTTAAAAGTAGGTAAAGGTGGTATATCTTCAGGCAAACTTTCTGACTGATTGTTGTCGCTAGTGTCCAAAGGCATGTGATTTAAATGTTGGAGAAAGAAAAAAAAATGAAGATAGCCCTGTTGGTCATTAATGTGCTCTGTTTGAGGAAGAATAGAATTTGCTATTGCATTCTGGGAGTATGGCACCATCTGGTGGTATGTTTTTCAACTAGAATTTACTAGGCTTTTTGCGTGTCTCATCAAGATGAGATATCTGTCATGTGTGGTGAACACAACATCATGTGTGGTTAACATCATGGTTCTGACCCATAGCAATATTCCAAACCGCTCCACTTTCGTGTGCCCGTACTGTGGAGCCCGCAACTTGGACCAGCAGGAGCTGGTGAAACACTGCATGGAGAATCACCGCAATGACCCTAACAGAGTGGTGAGTCTGCCAGCCGGCTGGTATGCCATTAGTAGGGCACAGGATGTCTCTGAAGCAGATTTAGCAGAAGGAGACGGGGAGAAACATCATGTATTTATACATGAGCTCCTGTACAGTGGTGACACTGTTTTTTTTTTTTTCTCTTTAATAAGTGGTGCTCCGTCCCTGTGCCAGGTTTGCCCAGTGTGTTCTGCCATGCCCTGGGGTGACCCTAGCTACAAGAGCTCCAACTTCCTGCAGCACCTCCTGCATCGACACAAGTTCTCCTACGACACGTTTGTGGTGAGGAGTTTCTAACAAAGAAATTAACTAATGACTGTTGTTATAACACTATAACTCTTTACAGAACCAAGTATGTACTGCCGCCCCAGGATTTTAAATTCACCTCTTTGGGACAGTATACAATAATTTCTTTACAGTCACCAGGTGCTAAATGAGTCAGCCTTATGTGTTGAACCATCAGTCTGATTCAATTGTCTGTTTTCACAACTTTTTCAAATGGACTTCGATGGAGATCATGTCATCACATCAGCAAAACTCCATTTTGATTCACCTTGGTTGCTCCTGAGACAGAATAAAATCAGCCATCTGACCAGCTATGCTGTTTCCCTTTTGCAGGATTACAGCATTGATGAAGAGGAGGCCCTGCAAGCTGCTCTTGCTCTCTCGCTTTCAGAGAACTGAACCCCCTCTTCCTTGTTCTGGTTGCAGTTATTCCACACTCTGCTGCTCAGCCCAGCTGCAGCGCCAACTCTTCCATATGCCCACTAGGGGGAGCAGCTATCCATCGCTGAAACGGGTCTGAAACATAAACACTGCAGTACATGAAAAGGCGGGATTTGGGTTCAGATGACAATACTCTTTAAGTGCTGGTATTTAATTTGGGAAAACCACATCATGCAGTTCATGTTTGGTCGCTTTGTTTTCACTTCTTTGTGTTGAAGAAGGGACCAAATTGCTGTTACAGCTCCTATACAAACAGAGTAGTGTGTGTGCGTGTGAGTTTGGTCTGTACTGAGGTAAACAGTACTGTACAAATTGAGCACAGATAAGGCAACATCAGTCACCACTGACATCATGGTTATGCAATGACCGTCCCCAGTACAAACTCTACCTTTTTTATTAGGGTCCTTGAATACTTCCAAACATTAACATTTTTCTACATAATTAAATTGTTGTATTATTTTGAACTTAAACGGAATAGAAATACATTTATTCTTCATACTGCTGTTACCTGATTAAATTGCTACAATAGTATTTTTTTATGAAGCATATAAAAAGTATATATTTTTGAAAAACAAAATTCAGTTTCACTTGCTGCACTTAGCATGAAAGTGAGCCACATGTCTGACTGCTAGAGGTTTGTTGGTTCATTTGCTTATATTTTTTTGGTGTCCATTGACATAGTGCCCTGTTCTTGGTAGGTGAGGATGATTGAGACTGTTTCAGACCTGATTTGTATAGTGTGTGCACAGACAGCAGACACCACGAGCATCCTTATTCTGTCAGTGATATTGTCCTGAGCTCCATGGATTTCACCGAGTGGGATTAATAACATAAAGCTTTCTGCATGTGTAATACCCAGATGTACAGAACTCTTACAAGCTTGTATGCAAATTTCTCTCTGTAGTTGGGCAGGAGGAGAGATATCTATCTCTATACACAGTACAAATTTCAGGCCATTACATAGCATTTTTAGGTAAGTCATTTACAGTTGTGATTTTTAAAAAATATCTGGTAATACTTTTAAAGTTTGATAAATGTGCTGCTGTTTTGTGATAGAAGAGATGCTTCTTAGTAGAGCACTATAGCTATGCAGGCAAAACGAATGAAGCAGGACCTCAGTTACACCACCGGTCAAGAGATGACTCAAGATGACTCGACGCTTTTATCACGCACATGTGACCTGGTGTTCAGTCCTGCAAGGCACGTGCGTGTCTCTGATCTTTGTTTTTGTGCCTCAGTGTTCTGCATATTATTTTCCCTGTAGTTTTCAGTCCTACAGATAAAGAATGTGGGCAGTTGGCAGTACAGCAAATCCTTGTTGGAATGGCAGTGGCCAGCGAATACCTGCGAGCTTTCGACTTGCTAGTGAGATTACCTGCTAACCCTCATTGTATGGCACTTAAGTTTAAATGATTTCATAATACTATTTTAAGAAACATTTTCTAGCTTTTGGACATTTCAGCTTCTTTTAAAACAATACAAATGTGTGTTAAGTGGTTGTTAGGGTTATATTACTGTACAAGAAGAGGGGGCATAGGCCTATATTTAATGTACTGTACTGTAGTTTGAGTGTTCTATAATGGGGGAGGGTGTCCTTTCAAAGATGCCATTTGTATTTGCAGAAATTCCCCAACATCTTAAAAGCACTAAAAAGAGAGTGCACATGGTGTTGGAGTGATTAATGATTATTGTCAGCATGATTTCAAAAAGTTGCAAGCCTAAAGCATTATAAAGGTTATAAAGAAAATTACATATATAAACTACTAAGCTTTTTTGAAATTATAAGACCGTGTCCTTGGATTACAATGAGCATATCAATGTTAACTGTCCCCAGGACCCTGACCAGAATAACCGGTTGGAAAATGGATGGATGGATATTTAAACTGTTACGAGTGGTGTTATTACTTTTACTATTAGAGGCAATAAGTATTCGGACAGTGGTTAAAATCTAGGCTAACAAACTCTGTTAATAGATGTTAAACACTGTAAGACCTCTTCCTTCACTTTAGGTTCTATATTTGACTACTTCAGATAATCCCATTTTGTAAATATTTCTAAGCCATCTTTCTTTTTTAAAGTGAAAATGCTTGACAGAACTGTGTTGTAAAGCAGAGATTTTTCTCTCTCCAGCGTTGTTGGTGTTGTTTTCCATTCTTTTTTTACTTTTAGTCTTGATTAATAATCCCAAGATGAATCACCAGCAAGGTGCACTATCTGTACTGTAAATGTTTGCAAGCCAAAGCTGTGTCTGCAACTAATATTCCATTCAGATGCAAAAATAATGGAAGAAATATTTTCATGCGATCCAACTGTATCATTAAAAATCGCTGCATGCAAAAGTAACAAGCAGGAGTTTGTGAGTGAAATATTTTGCAGAAAAAATAATCAAGGAGTAGTAGAAAGAGAGTACGAAACATCCACCCAACCGTCCATGTTTTAACCGCATATTCTGGTCAGAGTTGCAAGGTGGCCTTCAAAAAAATGCAAAACTGAAGACTACCTGGCCAGTGTGCTTCCTGTTTTGGTATGCGGTCACCTGATGATGAAGACCTGGGTCTTCTAAAGCAGTGGAAGAATGAGCATAAGTGGCCGCATATCCACAGCAACACTCTGCTCTGAATCCTCGGCATCGCACTGCCATCACCCATCCTGCCCGGTGTGGCTGGAACTCCACCATCAAAGCTTCCTTTGATGACGATGGACCACGATGCACATGGCAAGTCAGGAAGCCTCCTTTTGACACACACATGAGCGGAAAGATATTTACCATTCACTGGCTACAGTTCCCAGCTTGGGGATCAATGTGATTTATGCATTTACAAATAACTAATGATGATGGTCATGTGCATTTAGAAGTTATTATACTATTTCAGGTTTAATAAGAACTTTACTCTGTATTTGTAGCAGTTTCCTTAATAAACACTGGTCTTCACCGCTTCACTCGTCAGTCATTTTCTGGATCAGATATTATTGTGTTTGGTGAAGCTATGGATCTCTCACTGTTCTACAAAACAGAATTCACTCCTTTAGTGTGGTTTACTTCCGAGCCAGGTCTGTCGGTATTCACATAAAAAATAAATTAAAAAAAAGAAACATCTGTTCACGTAAACTGCTTCAACTGAACCTCTCTGAATCTCTAGTCATGGGGGTGGTGTCTGGCTTGGTGTGTTCAGGTTCTGTTCTTGTTGTCAGATGGTTGCCAGTTCAAATCCCAGGGTTGGCAGAGAGATTTCATCATTGGGTCCTTGAACAAGTGATTGTGAAGTACATGGAATGAAGTTCAAAGATTGGCTGAGTTTCTGAGCTAATGGAAACATTCCAATAAAACTTTAAAGTCAATGACGCCACAGAGTAGCTAATTCAATAATTTTTGTTTTAAAATATCCACTGTTACAGGGAAGGATAAAAATCTCATCACTATGTCAAACTGGTGAAAGAATGGAAAAGCCCCTTTAATGGAAAGAAGGGAACTAAATGGCACAGTGGCAAGACAGGGAGAGACTTGCTGTCTTTCACTTTCTGGCAAATCTAAGGTCACAATGACATCAGGCTTCTGGACTAACTGCAATACAGATTCAGATGAATAAACTGCTCCACTGGATTGCTTTTACAGAGAAAACGCAATGCTTTGCATGATGTTTGCTTTTATGACTGTGGAGTTTCACCCTTTCTTAGGCTAGCTGTCTCCTCAGAGAGATAGCATTTCCGATTCTGATAAAAATAGCAGCCTGCTTTTTATATAAACATACTCGCCTTGAACTTGGAACACCCTCAAACAAATGGCACGTCTACTTCTGTACCAAACTCTACAATCAGGTTTTCCTCCCTTAGCGGGTCAGTGACTTAAGTAGCCACTTACTACCACAAAAAGAAAAAAGGTCACACTTTATAATAAGGGTAAAAATCATACTCAAGTACACTTGATGATTTAATGCATGAATTAATACAATATTTACCATGAATTCCTGTTATTCACCATCAATTAATGATGAATCACTGTGACTGTGATAACAACACTAACTAGGTCATCAGTTAAGCAATGTTAATTAACAGTTAATTCATACATTAATTGATATGCCACCAAATTCTCTAATAATACTTGCAATTGGCATTGACCATTCAGTTGGCCACAATGCCAAGCCTGTCAGGCAGGTCCTGAAATAGTGTTTTCTTAATGGTGGTGCCTCAACTGAGTGGGTGAAGATCTCAGCTCCATCTGGGAGATCGGTGTGAAATACAGTCCACACTCCATAGGCACATTAAAGCTGTATAATGCAGTATGTGTGTGTGTTTCTATAAGTGTACCTACTACCCAGAGCAACTGGCAAACCAGTAACAGCATAAGTTTCACTTACAGTATTGGGAGCCAAAACTCACTCAGGCCTCATATAATCCATGAATAACTTCCAAAACTCACTAAGTCCACCAAAATTTTCTCAAAAGTGCATCCTGTGGACTGAGTTTTGGAAAAAGGCTCCTCAATCATTAGTGCTACCAGTATAGGTGGAAAGAGTGCATTGTTCTGAAGGCATAGTAATGAATTGGAGAGCAATGCAATGACAGGTGATTAATTCTTGCATGCTGATGGACTTGCTTTAATAAAAACAATTATAGAAGGCAAGCAGAGAGTACAAAAGGCTGGTTTGCTGAAATGATATCCAGTTCCAGCTGCTTTTATTAGACCTGTGACTGCAATTTTTCAGGAAAAACTGGGGCGGTTTGGGAACAGGCAGTGATCCTGCGTCCACACCTCGGAGGGGGCTGGTTCTGGTCCTTGGGTTCTGGGGCTGCTTGCAGAGAATTGGGGAAGTGGAAGACGTCATTGTGGTCGTCATTATTGGGACTGTGGCCCCTGACATAGAGTTTTGAACTGATAATGGGCCCCTCAATGACAGCGTCTCTCTGGCGAGCCCACTGCCGCTAGATGTGCCCCAACCATAACCCTACCCCTCTTGAACTGACAGGCAACCAGACCTAGATTCAAATCAGTCGATCCTACCCGGGTTGATTGTGGCCCTACTGAATTTTGCCATCTGGGTGGCCCTTCCTCTGCTTATCTGTTCATAAATAACCAAATAACAGGTTCTGCGGCTGTGACGAATTTTGAAGCTTTTTGATGTGGTGATACAATGTTTCAATACAATGTTTCAAATATAAGATTAATTTTCCCCCTTATTAAAGCACTGAGTCATAATGGTCCTTTTCATTATCATATACTGTACCTTGTAAACAACTTGAGTTCACAGCTATAATTTTGGATCCATGATGTACAATCTTGATGCCTCACAATGTGCAATAAAATTAGCATTGTTTTGATGTTATTCATGGTTTTCTAATATGTGGTATCCATCTGATGTGTCAACTTGAATTTGGGGAGTCATTGGCAGCTTCTTTTATGTGTCAGATGCGTTTACAATTGAAAGACGCATACAGTTGTTAAGTTGAATGAAACACTATCAAATTGCAAATTAATATTTTATATAAGCTGATAAAATACAACTTCCATGATTGGCAATTAGACATATTGGCCTATTCGTCTAATGCAGGGGTCTCCAACTCCGGTCCAGGAGAGCTACCGTCCAGTAGGTTTTCTATCATACCCGGCTTCTGATGAGCTACACCTGTTCTCAGGTAAATACCAGGAACAGGTGTGGCTCATCAGAAGCCAAGTGGGACAGAAAACCTACTGGATAGTAGCTCTCTAGGACCGGAGCTGGAGACCCCTGGTCTAATGTCTTAGGGAATATTTTGAAATAAGTTAACAAACTACAAAATTAAATTTCAGGTTAATAATGAATAAATTTCCTCAAAATGCAATCCAGGATGCTCACAGCGAGCCACCCCCACAGAGCCACAATGTGCAAGGATTTCTCCTGCTGGACCCTCCACAAATTCCTTAGCATCAAATTGGGTGTGGTATCAATCTAGCAGCACCTCTGCCCATATGGATCCACGAAAATACACTATCTGTTTTGTATTTTTGTATACATTTCATACTGCCCACCCACCCTGGCAAATTTTAGTTTTGGGGCACCTCTCCTACTGGGCCCATAACATTTATTGTATGGTGTTAACCTGTCCGTGGACATCTAGGCTTAGCAAAAGGGCACTCGATCACGAGACTAGTGGCAGATGTGAAATGTGTGAACCATTTCCACGTGCAGAACAAATCTTCAACCTGAAAGCGCACGCAGAAAAGTAAAATAAAGTAAAGGTTGGGGACCCTTAGCGTACACAGTCCACGCATCCCCTGCTGGTAGCTTTCTGTATTATCACATCTATGGCTTTTCCTTTGATTCCATGGTTCACACATCTCATTTCTGACACAGCTCTCCTGATCTTGTGCTCTTCTGCTTGTACTGCAGCACTGATACTAACTAACGAGTCTTGAGCTATATATATACAGTATATATATATATACATACATATATATACATATATATATGTGTGTGTGTGTGTGTGTGTGTGTGTGTGTGAGAGAGAGAGAGAGAGAGAGATCGGGAAAGAGAGAGAGAGAGAGAGAGAGATTGAGTTGCCCGTTTTCCTGGATAAAAACTAGAAATTCCCTCCTTGAAGGTGACACCCGTTGATAGCCCGTCTTTTGAAAAGCACTGTCAATCGATTGCTTTTGTAACCTTATAACAAACATTTATTTTAAAAACGCAACGGCAAAATCTAGTAGCTAATCACACAAATTACATTAAAGGGAAACACCACACATCAAAAAACAAATGCATTATTGTATTCTCCGATAGCTTGCTGCATTTCATTCCGCAGGCACATTGTTGGCTGTCCTTGACGCGCACAACTGTATTACATCATTCCTGTAGGCTTGGAGACGGAGGGAGAATCCCTGCCACCCCTCCTTCTCTCCTCCCACCGAGTAGGTAGGTCGACGTTTGTTTGTGACTCACGTCTCGATGAAGCAGACTTGAGATCGGTACCTGCCCTACGTTCATGCACACTATGATGTCACTACTATAAAGAGCGACATCACTTTCGCCGACATACACTTCCTGCGGCTGACGTCAGTCACTTTTCGGCCACATAAATATGGAAAGACGACTTCTCCCCGGTATTGAACAGCACAGGAAGAACAAATACAGTGCAAGAGAATTCAGCACAAAATATTTTTTCCTTCAGGACATCAAGCATCGTTTTATCAGGCGAAGAAGCAGTTAAAGGGAAAGGCAGAAATGTTGGTTTGTGTATGAAAATACTTGTCTGATCGAATCATCGTTGTTTTTTATATATATATTTACTGGAAATTTACATCATTTTGCAAAACATAATTTAAGTATGCATATCTTTAATTGCATTTCTTGGAAGACATCGACTAAATTTGCTGTAAGTGTGCGTTATATAGTTTTGAATTTAACTTAAGCTTCAAAAACTGTTATTCATTACGTGTGATTGTTAACTACCGTCTTTAATTCACAGATTCCAATCATGACTCTTAACAAAGGCAATAAGCTGCGGAATACGGAGAAAAAGAGGAATACCGTTCCTTTTTCGGGATACCATCAAAGTCGCCACAAAAGAAGCCTCACCACGGACAGCGGCATAAACTCCGCGCTCCCTGTGCTCTCGGGCAGGCAGGCAGCTGTGCCTCGGAGCGATGCCCTGGAGCCGTTCAGCGGCAGCCGCCCCGAAGGACACGTGCACAAGGTCGTTCTCCTGGGTGAACATGGCGTTGGCAAGTCCTGCCTGGCACAGATTTTCGGGCAAGTTGAGGACGGGCACGACTGCGACGAAGCAGGTAATAACTTACTGGAGGCGGCGTGGACTACTACTACTACTACTACTACTACTACTTCTAATAATAATAATAATAATAATAACAACAATAATAATAATAATAATAATAATAATGATGATGATGAACAATCCATGACCTGGTAAGAACAAGTAAGGGCAATTTATCAACAATTTATATAAAA